CCTTAGCCACTTGAGCCACAGGTGCCGAGCCATACATACAGTTTTAAATAAATCACAATCATTTATTCAGCAAACGATTTTTTGAACTTTTGGGTGCCACACTTTTTTCTAGGTGCTGGGGACAAAACAGTGGTGGAGTCAAATAGTGTATCTGTAGTAGTAAGTGCTATGAAGAAAAGTAAAGAGCTAGAAAGTGGTAGTGGTTGGGGAAGTTGTATGCTCCATAAACTGTGGTCAAGGAAGGACTGCAATGAGGTGACTTTTGGTCAGAGATATGAATCAACTGAGGGAGAGAGCTATGTGGCTATTTAAACCAACCCGGCTATCTGGGGGAAGAATCTTCCAGGCAGTCACAGTACAAAAGCCCCAAGTTGGTGGGTGTGTGCCAGTGTGGCTGGAGAAAGTAAGCAAGGGCAAGGGGTGGGAGGTAAGACCAGAAGGTAGCAACAGGTCTTATTTAACCATGGTAAAGGATTTGGTTTTACTCTTAGTAAGATGGAAGATCTTGGGAGGTTTTTTAGCAGAGAATGATGGGATCTGACATATGTTTTTAAAGGGTCATTAAGTCTGGTGTGGTGATTAGGTTCTTGGAGGAAGGGAGCAAAGGTGGAGATAAAAAGACCTGTTAGGAGATGATGAGAGGAAGGAACAGGTGGTAGAGATTTAAAATTAAGAAAGATGTTGAAATGGTTGTTTTGGAGAATGGAAAAAAGAATAGAAAAATATAATAGGCTTGCCAAGCAGCACTAAGGGATTGTTAAAGATACATTTAAAGGAGGATGTTGATTTCTCTTGTTCAAAGACTTGAGAGCTGGTGCAAAAAGAGTAGAGAGTTAATAGCTTATTTTGTCAAATGAGTATGAGAGACAGAGAAGTATAGAGTTACTAAGAATGGTGTTAAGCTTTGGTGGAAAAAACATGTACATGCACAAACCAAAGTGGATGTCAAGAGAAGCAACCCGGAGATTTGCAGGGATCTGGAGATGACTTCAGCAAAGAGGAGTCATAGATGGAATAGTCTGATAGAGTGAGTTTCAGAGGGGTTGTTGAGTGTTAGGGAAGAGGAATATAAAAGCAGCATTGAAGAGCAAGAACTCTCTTACTAAACCTCCAGGGTTAGGAAGGCAGTGTGAGAGAGAACCAGCCACCAGTTGAGAAATATACAGGGGAAGCAGCATCTTCAGAGGCTAGCTAAGTTTGCCTTAGAGCAGGAGTGGGCAAGCTATAGCCTTTGTTCTAAAACTGGCTGGTTTTAGAAATAACATTTTAATAACATTTTATCTGTGCTGCTGCCTTTCTAGCTAACTACATGTAGGGTTGGGCAGTTGCCAGAGAGACCCACAAAACCTGAAGTATTTACTTTCTAGCCCTTTACAGAAAAGTTTGTGGAGCCCTAAGAATGAAAAAGTAACTAGAACAATTAAAACAGTAGGTTAATCTCATAATTGATTAATAAGTAAAATGAAGTTTTTCTTTGCTATAGATCATCAGAATCTTGCAGTTACTAATTTATGTGACATATAGACATAATTTAGATTCAGTTTTTTTTTTTGCAGGATGTATGACACTATAAATAAAACCTGCTATGTCATTTGATATTGCTCTCTCGTGTAAATTACTGTGCCCTTTCTAGCAATTAATAAATAATAGCTATAAAGTTTTTCCCAGTTGTCTTTAATTTTGGTTACTATGTTTGTTTTTTCCAACATCCCCATGATTCGTCTTGACCATATTTGGCCTTGTTTATTTAGAGAACATTTCATTTGAATTTGAGACAATAGAAAGTGAGCTTTGCTTAGAAGAAAAAACTTAAATTTTACTCTATTACATTGGGCCATAATCATAGCTAGACCTTTGAGAAATTACACAAGTCGGCTTGGCGCCTGTGACTCAAGCAGCTAAGGTGCCAGCCACATACACCTAAGGTGGCGGGTTCGAGTCCAGCCCGGGCCCCCCAAAACAACGATGATGGCTGCAACCAAAAAATAGCCGGGCATTGTGGCGGACGCTTGTGGGTCCCAGCTAGTTGGGAGGCTGAGGCAGGAGACTCGGCTTGAGCCCAGGAGATGGAGGTTGCTGTGAGCTGTGATGCCACAGCACTCTACCCAAGGGGGATAGCTTGAACTCTATCTCAAAAAAGAGAGAGAGAGAGAAATTACACAAGTCTTTTTATCCAGACTTCATTTAACAGTTAAGCAACTTGCCATGTGGTCATCTGCTAGCTGATGAGAAAACCTGCAATGATGATGCCTCTGATGCTTGCACTCTGAGTAGGATGTCAGTCTTGTAGTTTATTGGTCAAATTAGGACACTTGAGAGTGAATAGGGGTGCTGTTAATGATGGGACAACAGGTGTGAATCAAGACTGTTCCAGACTCAGGATGGATATGTGGTCTTCTAATGTGAGCTTTGGGCAAATTACGAAATGGCTGTGTACCTCGGCTACCAAATCCTGATGTCTTGCTTATATCGCAGGATTGTTGTGAGATTCAATGAGAAAATACATGAAAAAATTATTTTCATAAAGCATAAAGTGCCGTGCACATTTGGCAGTTTATTATCCTCTCTTTCTCCTTTAGAAATTTAAGATTCGCATTGAAGACCCACCCCGCAGAAAGCACATGGTATTTCTGGGTGGTGCAGTTCTGGCAGATATCATGAAGGACAAAGACAACTTTTGGATGACCCGGCAGGAGTACCAAGAGAAGGGTGTCCGTGTGCTGGAGAAACTTGGTGTGACTGTTCGATAGACTGCAAAGCTTGTTCCCGTCCTGCCTCTAACACTTTCTTTCTTCCTTTATTGCCAATCTTTGAAATCATTCAACTCCAGGACATGGAAGTGGCCTCTCTGTGCCCTTTGACTGGGAAGGTCAAGTTTTATTCTGGTGTCTTGGGGAAGCTTTGTTAAATTTTTGTTAATGTGGGTAAATCTGACTGTTTAATTCAACCATTTTCCTACAAAAACAAGAGGGCAAAGGGCCCCTCCGCTGCTTTGTTTCTTCTAAGTAATCATTTAGATCATTCCTGTAGGCTTCCTCTTTTCACTTTACTGCTCTAATGCTGCTAGTTTTAGTCTTTAGCACACTAGGTGGTATGCCTTTATTAGCATAAAAAACTTTAACAGGAGCTTTTACATATTACTGGGGTGTGGGGGTGGTTAGGGATGGGTGGGCAGCCTGTGACCTCTTTAGGGCATTTCCTCTTGTAGTTTGGCGCTTTCAGCAGTTACTGCTGCAGCTTTAAGTACTTAAAGCTTCTCCTGTTAACATCTTAGGGAAACGTTAGGTTCAGAACTAACGTGTTTGGGGTGGGCTTTTGCGTGGGGAGGGGCATTGGGTGGTCTTTTGATTTTTGAGATTTTCTCTTCAGGGTACCCGAGATAAACTTTATTTACAATGCTTCGATTTGGCAAGTTTTCTTCTACTTTTGGTCTGCCTGGAAGTGTTTCCATATGGTGTAAAAGGCAAGTGTAGTATTCCATTACCGCGTGGCTTAGGGATTTTAAAAATCAAATATGTTGGAGGGGACAAGACTCCCTAGAATCTCAATGGAAAAGTAATGTTTAAAAATGCTTTTGGTAACTCAAATTACAATTTTAAAAGTGCTTAAGACTAGTGTTTTCTAAATGCTTCTATTTATTCCAGAATCATTAAGGTAATAGGGGGGCCAAGTACCATTCTTATAGATTATTCTTTTATATAGCTGAACAGTGTTTATTTAATAAAACAAGCAGGTACTTATAAATAATTACTATAGTAGATTATTCTAATTGTGGGGTTAAAAATTACATTGGAATATGGGACTTGTTGCCAGTTGGGTAACTTCATTAGATTTTCTTTTGATTTGAAACTTGGAAATGGAGTAAAATTTGACTATTTAAAATGTCCCCCCAAAAATCAAGATTAAATTAGTATTTGTACTAAAAATTAATCATAAATGTTAATTCTCAGCCATCTTTTATGCTCAAGAGTAGAGTAGTTGATATTTCATTAATGTGAACCGACTTTCCTGCCTGTGTCAGAAAATCCTATTTGTGAATCCTGTTGGTATTTCTTGGTGTTTTGAAAAAATAACAAATGAGGCCCATGTATTAGTTCTTTCTGAATGTAAAACTTAAAGCCATGAGAAATTGTATCACACTAAGTACAAAATACAAGTTCTAGAAAAAAAGTTTCCCAGCTCGGCTCAAGTGACTCAAGCTGAGGTGTATGTGGCTCAAGTGGCTAAGGCGCCAGCCACATACGCCTAAGGTGGCAGGTTCGAATCCCACCCAGCCCGCCAAACAACAATGACAGCTGCAACCAAAAAATAGCCGGGCGTTGTGGTGGGTGCCTGTGGTCCCAGCTACTTGGGAAGCTGAGGCAGGAGACTCACTTGAGCCCAGGAGTTGGAGGCTGCTGTGAGCTGTGATGCCATAGCACTCTACCCAGAAGGACAGCTTGAGGCTCTGTCTCA